TTCTTCATTTGCTTGTTGGCCATCTGAATGTCTTCTTTGATGAAGTGTCTGTTCATATCCTGTGCCCATTTTTCAATTGGGTTGTTTATCTTATTATGGTGCTCGAGTATTTTATAAATTCTAGATATAAGTCCCTTATCTGACATGTCATTACCAAATACTTTTTCCCAGTTTGTGGCTTCCCTTTTTACCCTGTTGTATGTGCATAGGGATTTGATTCTTAGAGGGTCCCATCATCTATTTTATCCTCTCCTAGTTGTATATTTTTCAGGATGCTTGGAAGAATGTTGATGTTGTGGACTAGGACAACTAGAGTTTTTCCAGGCTTTTCTTCAATGATGTTTATAATCCTTGGTTTTAGTCTTGGGTCCATGATTTATCTTGAGTTGGTTTTTGTTTATAGAATGAGGTGTGGATCTTGCTTGAGTTTTCTGCAGGTTGTTTTCCAATTTTGCCAACACCAATTGTTAAAAAGGCTGTCATTTCCCCACTTAACTGATTTCATCTTCTTGTCAAAAATCAGTTGACTATAGATAGATGGGCTGTTTTCCAGCTTCTCAATTCTATTCCATTAATCTGTGTCTGTCATTATACCAGTACCACACTGTCTTGACCACCATGGCAGTGTAGTAAGATTTGAAATCAGGGAGTGAGATGCCTCCTCCCTTGTTTCTCTTTTTAAGGAGTCCTTTGCTTATTCGGAACTTTTTTCCATTCCAAATTAAACTGGAGATTGCTTTTTCTATCTCATTGAAGAATGGAATTGGTATTTGCATTGGGATTGTTGAACGTATAAATTGCCTTTGGTAGTATTGGCCATTTTCACAATATTGAGTCTACTTATCCATAAGCAAGAGAAACTCTTCTACTTCCCCAGGTCTCTTTTTGTTTCTTGTAGTAATGTTCTGTAATTTTCTTTGAATAGATCCTTTGTGCTTCTGGTTACATTTATTCCCAAGTATTTAATCTTGCGATTAGTTTATTGTGAAGGTATTGTTTTTCTTAGCTTCAGCTCTGTATTCTCTTTGTCACTGTAGTGAAATCCAACTGATTTTTGTATGTTGATCTTGCATCTTGCTACTTTGCTGAATTGGTCAACTATGTCCAGTAGTTTTCTTGCTGAGACTTTTAGGGTTTTCTAGGTAGACTATCGTATCATCTGCATAGAGAGATAATTTTACCTCCTCTTTCCCAATTTGGATACCTTTTATATCCTTCTTTTGTCTTATTGCTAAGTCTCTAAGACTTCAATACAATATTGAATAAGAGAAGTGATAGTGGGCATCCTTGCCTAGTTCCTTTTCTCAAAGGGAATGTCTTTAATCTCTCTTCATTGAGAACAACGTTGGCTCTCAGATTTGTGTATATACTTTTTACTATGTTGAAGAAATTCCCCTCTAATCTTATTTTGTTGAGTGTTTTCATCAGAACAAAGTGTTGGATTTTGAGAGAGGCCTTTTCTGCATCAATTGATAGGATCCTGTGGCTCTTGTTCTTTGCTTTGTTAATGTGATGAATTACCCTAAATCAAGCCTGGAAGGAGGAGCTGCATCCACTTCTGAAATGGCTTACCTCCAGAAACTCTATGTACGAACAGTGCTCAGGCCATTCGTTCATAGGGTCGCTATGAGTCATCTAAGACTCAACGGCATCAAACAACACCACCACCATACCCACTGATGTTCAAGCAATGTATTGTTCAGCTTCCAAATGTACGGTTTGTTCTCCTTTATCTTCTTGTTATTAATTTCTAATTTTGTGGCATTGTGGTCTG